TCCTTTTGAGCACCCGTTGAGCCGTGAAAGTGCTAGAGCACTTGCAAACCCTAAGCCATCCAAGGCACCACATATCATGCCCAGGAGTCCTGCAGGGCAGTCTGTCTTCCAAGAACTTTTCGGTTTGCGACCGCCAAGCCAATCTGTCACAGCCCCTATAGACACATGAAGATGAAGCCTCTGACATTGATTTTCTGTGCTTTGTCGATGAAACACCCTAAACCCTAAACCCTAAACCCTAAACCCTAAACCCTAAACCCTACTGGGAGTTTTCTGGGGCTCATAAGTCTCAGACTCAGGTCTTGGGCATACGTCAAAGTCTGAACCCCAAAACTTTACATAGGGCTCACCCCTACCATAACCCCAAGTAGCATGCCTTCTCAGTCGTGTATATATATATATATATAGACGAGGTCCCAAAAGGCAACCCAAAAAAAAATTGCAATGCAGGCTATAGGTTATAGTCGATGTACCCAGCGAAGGTCCCCTTAAAAGAAGAGCTCTTCTTCCCTAAACCCTAAACCCTAAACCCTAAACCCTAAAGCCCTTAAAAGAAGAGCTCTTCTTCGGATGCAGTCCTGAGAGGCTGCACCAGATGAGGGCATGGCGAAGCTGCTTGTTGTTCGAAGCCTTAACTTAGGCAATCATAGAGGTTTATGGAGTTAGGATTTAGGGATTTAGGGGTTTAGGGTTTAGGGAATTATAAGGGTTTACTTAACTTATGGGTAGTTCTCTAAACTAAAGTCCTGTTTTAAGGTCACCAACATGATACAGCACCCTTCTAAAAGGGACTCTGAAAGGGACCCTTGTTTTCAGAAGCACCCTTCTACTTCCCCGATTGCGCCAGGAACTCAGAAGTTGTGACTTTCAGGATGGCAGAAATAGCAATCTAGTAATCTAGTACCACAGAAAAGTGCATGCACATATAAACACTACACAAACATATGGGACCGTTACATATGGACACAAGGCATACATGCGTGCGTATGTGTGTATATGCATAATAATATACATAGATGTATACATACATATGTATCGGTGTCAATACAGTATAGCAAAAACGAGATAGATATACCTTTTTATATACATACATATATATATACACTTGCATATGTATCTGCATGTGTATATGTGTGCACAACTATTATGAGTATATTATATATATAGATATACTTATATATACATATAAATACATATATAAATATATACATATACACACATATGATATTTGATTTTACTTTCTCGGTGCAGAACAAAAATTACCAGGCAGTCTAAGCGCTAGAGGTTCCTCAAGACCAGGCACACAGCTCCAATTTTTTGATGCGCACCGGAAGCACGGTTCGCAGGGCGACAGGCGGGGTAAGGATTTTTCGGGTGTGAAATAAAGGTCGGAGCCCCTAAACCCTAAACCCTAAAACCTGAACCCTAAACCCTAACCCTAAACCCTAAACTTGGCCCTAAACCCTAAACCGTGAGCCACTTCAGGGAGGCGGAGACGCGGAGGATTCTGGCGGGGAGATCGTGCGCAAGCGATGGCCCAGTTCGATTTTCTCGAAATTCCAAAACCCCCTCGCTGAGCTTGAGCACTTTTGCTGGCACGGCCCATGCTACTGCCCTAGCTTACCAGGAGGAGTTCGCGACCCCACGAAGGAACCTGGTCCGGCTTGCACTTTCGTGTATCCAAGCGCTTTAGAAGCCAGAGTGAGCACGAGACTGTAGCAGGAGCACGGTTTCCAACCAAAGATCCACGAGACTGTGCAAGAGACGGATGCTTCTAGTTGGACGAAGCCGAAGCATGAACAATGGACAAAAAGCAGCATCGGCGGAGGACGTGGCAGCAGCGGGACTGTGGACAGAACTGCACTCTAGTCGAAAATGCCCCACGTCACGCAAAAACCCACAGCACGTTACAAGCTTTTACCTCAACATTCGATAACAAAGGAAATCAGAAGCTTGCGTTTCGGACTCACACTAATACCTCTGACCCACAAAGTAAGATATAGCTCTGTGGCATACTCCAGAAGCAAAAGACAAGTGCAAGCCTTGTTGATGACGACTTGTATACAGTTACAAGAATCAACCGAAGAGTTTCCACGATAAGAACCCAAGAAAGTGCTAAAAGCCTGGGTTCGCGGTAACCCTAAACCCTATAGCCCTAAATCCTAAAACCCTATAAACCTTACCTTAACCCCCAAATAACCTACCTTTTTGAGGACTTATATAAAGAAACCATAATAAGGATCCCTACAAAGGTAGGTTCCTTAGGGTCCAGGTAAACCTTAAACTCCTAAACGGAGCTCCGGAGCTCTGGCAATAAGGATGGTCTTTCCCTCCTCGTGGGCGCGATAGGCTTCGTAGCCGCACCAGAGCCTGCCGGAGCGATCGCAGCTTGGATTCTGCAAGAATTTTAGGGTCTGCAGGGTATGATAAACGGCACATGTTTCTTCTTTTTGGTTTAACAAACTAATTCATATTAAGGATCTTAAAACTAACCCCAAAAATGAACTACAGTGGAGACTACAGGTAGGGTGTCTTAAAATGAGTTAGGGTCAGGGCTAATAATCGGCGTTGACGGTTTCGCGTTTCTATACAGATCCCATCAATTGCATATAATCAAAGCCTGGTGTAGATGCTGAAGTGGCGGTTGGGCACCACAAGGACGGATGTAGAGGCCTGGAGTGCTCGCGCGAAGGGCGAGCTGCTGGGAGATTGCAAATAGGACCCTATGTCCAAGTTCTGCGGGTTTGCCAGCATGCAGCACCAAACGTGCCGTGAACCCGACGGCCAGGAATGCAAGACCTTGGACAGGAACTCGAAAACACCCTCCTGCCAGGCATGGCTGATGAACAAGTCGCAGTCCAAGCCATCCGGATGCAACATCAGTGCCCAGCTGACCTTGCCGGCCTCCTCCGTCACCGGCATGATGTACTGCGTGTTCACCGTGTGGATGTTTGGCCCATACTGATCGTCGGACGACTCAAAAGGATCACTGTCATCGACGGGACGAATCTTCCCACACTGGATGGCCCGCCAGACCTCCTGCTGCAAATAGATAAGATCTGACCGCGTGACGCACCAACGGTCGGGAGTTACGGCTTCATGCAGAGCAAGAGCCTGCAGCGTCGTACACCTCGTTGAGGAGCGGGATCTAGCCATCTCACGAGCAGAAGTCGGCTAGTAATTCCTTTCACAGCTAGCAAACAGTGCGTCCAAACCCCGAATTGTGAAAACTGATCTTTCACTCAAACGATATGGAGGTCTAACCCTTATACTCATACCATGTCGAAGCTCACATCTCAAGCTGTGAAGCTGCGGTTCAGGAGAAAGTCTAGAGACGAAACGAGACTTGTGCGCCTCTCGAGAGATCCCCCAGGCTACAGTTTAGGGTTTTTGGGTACGTAGACTCATATCATATTTCAGGTATTGTGGGGCGCACTGTAGGAAGGCTTTAGGGGGCAACAGGGTACACCTTTTTCCGTGTGAAGATGTGCACAGAGACGAAGATCGCATCAGACCATGCCCGTGTTTTCGAACATGCCTTCAAATTGCGACCTGTAATGTAGGGGCCTTACTAATTAGAACAGGGTTTTGGGGGGTCCGTATTACAGTTATAGTACAATGTATCCCCAGACCCCTTATTTGTTAGAATAGGGTTTTGGGGTTCCGTATTACAATTACAGTACAACAAACCCCCAAACCCCTTAATATTTAGAATAGGGTTTTGGGGGTTCCGTATTACAATTATAGTACAACAAACCCCCAAGCCCCTTAATAATTAGAATAGGGTTTTGGGGGTTCCGTATTACAATTACAGTACAACATACCCCCAAACCCCTTAATAATTAGAATAGGGGGGTTCCTTAATACAGTTATTGTACAACAAACCCCAAAACCCCTTAGTAATTAGAATAGGGATTTGAAGTTTCCTTTTTACAGTTGTAGTACAACATACCCCCCAAACCCCTTGATAATTAGAATAAGGTTTTGGGGGTTCCTTACTACAGTTATGGTACAACATGCCCCCCAAACCCCTTAATAATTAGAATAGGGTTTTGGGGGGTCCTTATTACAGTTATAGTACAATATACCCCCAAACCCCTTAGTAATCAGAATAGGGTTTTGGGGCTTCCTTAGTATTACAACTATAGTACAATATACCTTGGGGGCTCCTTTTTACAATTATAGTACAACATACCCCCAAACCCCTTAATAATTAGAATAGGGTTTTGGGGGTTCCTTATTACAATTGTAGTACAACAAACCCCCAAACCCCTTAATAATTAGAATAGGGTTTTGGGGGTTCCTTACTACAGTTATAGTACAAAAAACCCCCAAACCCCTTAATAATTAGAATAGGGTTTTGGGGGTTCCGTATTACAATTATAGTACAACAAACCCCCAAGCCCCTTAATAATTAGAATAGGGTTTTGGGGGTTCCGTATTACATTTACAGTACAACATACCCCCAAACCCCTTAATAATCAGAATAGGGTTTTGGGGGTTCCGTATTACAATTATAGTACAATTTCCCCCCAAACCCCTTGATATTTAGAATAAGGTCTTGGGGGTTCCTTACTACAGCTATAGTACAACATACCCCCCAAACCCCTTAATATTTAGAATAGGGTTTTTGGGGTTCCCTATTACAGTTATAGTACAACATAACCCCAAACCCTCTTCTAAATATTGTGGGCCCCTAAACACTAAACCCTAGTCCTCTGTCCCAAACCCGGCAAGCCCTAAACAACCTGCTAGACTCATACATCCAGAATAAGCCAGGGGGAAAAAAGGTTAAACTTTCAGGCTACTACTAAGTTCTGAGAACCGAAAACGTTTAAAGGTTGGGTGTTGGAGAACTAAGGACCCCTACTCTAAACCCTAAACCCCTAAACCCTAAACCCTTAAACCCTAAACCCAAACCCCTAAAGCCAGAACCTATGCTTTGAATGAAGAGCCCTGCACGCCGTTTGCCCGACGAATCGCCGTCTGCCCAGTCAGGCTCGGCCGGTTGGGGCTTAGGGAAGGTGTAAACAGGGTGTAGGGATTTAGGGTTTAGGGTTTAGAATTTAGGGTTTAGGGTTTAGGGGTTTAGGGATTTAGGGTTTTGGGGATTTAGGGTTTTAGGGTTTAGGGGTTTAGGGATTTAGGGTTCAGGGTTTTCGCGGTTTGGGGTTTCGGGTTTGTAGGGCCTTGAGAGTGTAATGGTATTTTAAGATTCGGTTCCGGTGAGGCTCTAAGCTTCGACCCATAGGCTCCATAGGAGTTCCTTTTTGTGTTGTACATATTTAGGATCCTATAAGGTATTCCCCAAAAGGAACTACTATGAGGCCTATGGGTAGCTTCTAGATTCTAGCACTCACGACACGAAACGTTCCGCCAGAGCTGCACAAGTAAGTTGGAACGAAACTTGTGTTCAAGTTGACCCTGCCGGCGAGTCCGTTGAGAGTCGTGGCCTGGATGTGGGCGCAGTGGTGGTGCCGATGGTACCATGCAAGTCTTTACCGCCACTGCTGCAGCTACTGCTGCTGACTGCTACTACTGCTACTGCTACGGCTGCTACTGCGACTGCTGCTGCTACTACTACCACTCCTGCTCCTACTCCTACTCCTACTGCCAATACTACCACTATTACCACCACCACCACGACTACTCCTACGACTACTACTACGACTACTAC